AAATTTTTATAATACGAACCATTAAGATTAAAATAAAGTTAAAAAGAATAAATTATATTATACAGGAGTTATCAATTTTTTGGTATCCCCTTGATTAATTTTTCTTTAAAAAAGAAAATTATTAACTTAAAAATGTTTAATGACAAACATGGGTATAATAAATTTGAAAAAATATATATAAAACTTAATGCATTAATGCATCATATGACAAACCTAAAATAAAAATTATAACAGATAAGTAGACATAAGAATTTGTAAACCAAGCTGACCCGACCCGGGTCTTGATAAGTCTGTTCAACACAGACCATTTCTATATTATTTGTTTGGCCTCTTTATTTCATTAATTTTTAGTAAACGGTATTGGCAAAATACCGTTTACTAAAAATTCCATTTGTAACTCGAAATTTAATTTTCTTAAATATTTTGACTCTAATAAAGAAGTTCCTCCCCTCTTTTTGCTTTAATGGTGACCAGGTGAATAAAATAATAAAATGTAAAACAATGATCTACATATATAAGAATGTTTTCTTTCTTTCCTCAAAAGTGTTGCAAATACAGACTAAGCTAACTAATTAGTTAAACACATAAATAAAACTTGAGTAACTCGATATTAATGCGCAAAACTACAATATTCTCCGTGTTTTTAAAGGTTTTTAATTACGACCCCCCCCCCCCCCCATTTACAAAGATGCCCTTAAAATACGTACAACAAATTATTAGGCATAAAATAGATAAAATATAAAATTAACTAATAGCATATATTTATATCTTTTTAACTAAGAAAAATTTACAATAAAAAGAAATCAGGTTTTTTTATTTTATAAATCTTATGTGTCATAACGTAATTCTAAAAAAAAAGGTAATGAAATTATATCATAATTACAAAGAAGAACAAAAACAAAATTGTTGTCTTGGCTTTTATAGTTTAAACATATATACAACTGTAAACAAATATGACTTTATAACACATATAAACACATTTTACAACTATTGAATGATAGATATATTTATCAAAAAATATGAAAAAAAATAAATAACGATAAATAAAGTTATACATACAAAATGTGCTCACAACCTTTAACAGTAAATTTTCGAAATGAAAATCTCAAGACTATAAATTAAGAACATAAATAACAATATTTATGTTACATTTTTTACCTACTATAACTTGAATAAGTTGTTTATCAATTTTGAAAAACAAACTATTAAATGCTCTAGTTCTTGAAAATGCAACATATAGTTGACCATGAGAGAAACACGGTTTTTGAGATATTTCTTTTGTCTATATTTTTAATTTCGCGTTACGTAATATATAGACGATCCCTAAAATAAAATACTTGAAACTAAAAAGATTTTATTTATTACAATAACCAATAACAACCAAGGGACAATTTTAAGAATTATATCTTTAAATAGCAAATTATCAATCGCAGTATTAAAAAATACGCAAGAGCTCAGTAATTACATGAGTTTAATCTATTCTCTCTCTATACTAATTCTTATTTAAGTCTCATCTAAGAGAGAGAGGAAGTGTTTTAAAAACAACACGTTAGAAAAAGTAAAAAAGTCATGCAATAAATAACAGTAACTGGTTTTATTATGCTACCAATAAACAAAATTATACGTACCTTAACTAAAAGTTAATTTCCAGCATTTCTTAATTAAGTTCCAGCTTCCCTTTAACTGTTGACAAATGATTAATATTGTAAATTTCACATCATATTAAATTTACAAAATTAAAACCATGTTTCAACAGTAAGCAAAATAATCAAGTGATGACAAAAACAACTAAAAAAAAAATGAATAAATAAAAAAATCATTAAAAATTGAAACTGTTATTACTTGTTACTATAAGAAGTAAAATTCATACATTAAAATTAAAATATTAAAAATAGTAAAATTCATACATTAAAATTAAAATATTAAAAATAGTAAAATTCAATTTATATTTTAAAGTGTCTAATGTAAAATCAAATAATAGACATCAACACTGCTTGACACTAAATTCTGGCAAAAAAGTTTTCTGTTCATCAAGCAAAATTTCTTATATTTCAACGACAATTAATTTTATCACGCCTAGATCTATTTCTTTCATATGACAACAATTTTAAGTCACCTATAACCATTTACACTAATAACTTCATCGAGCCTAATATTATACATCTGTTATAATTAAATATATTACCAGTGATTATACTACTGTTACAACTGAATAAAAGAACGCTTTATATTTTTACAACTGAAAAATATAAAACAAAATTTTTGACATTATTTTAATTTAGCAAAGAATTTAGACTACAATGCAAAGTTATTTTTACCTTCAGGCACAATCTTAATGCACAAAAATAATAAATGCTGAATTTTGTATAAAAAATGAAAAATATGTTTATATATTCAAATTTTTTCTATTCCTTTTAATTTTTTCTATGAGATAATATTAATATAGATTCAGAGAAATATAAAATATTCTGATATATAGGCACATTTATGTATATAAACTTACCTGTCAAAAATTACAGTCAGTTTTTCATGCTAAATACATAAAATATACATCTAATATAAAATAAAACAAAACATTAAACTTACTCAAATCAGTAACATTTAGCTCTTTCCAATTGCACTAAAAAATAAAATAAATCTTGCTTTGCTAAGTTGCCTAGTTCTTAAGAATCTGAAAACAAATATGTAAAAAACCAAGAACAAACAAACATTTTTTTATTAAAACTACTCTATTCAAACAAATTAAATAAAACAGAGAACAACATTAATTCTCTTTGAAAGCTGAAAAACTTTTCATTTCAAATTTGCTTGCAGACCTTGCTTATAAAACCACTTTAATAAGAAAAGCATCAAAAAAGCCTAGAAGCTACTTAAAAATGGTATATGTAACATTGAACTTTGAATGTTGACTGGAGTAGATATATATTTTTAAAAAATTCAAAATGATTTGTTCTTCTATAGCAAATAAAACCACTATAAATCTGAAATTAAAAATGTAACAAATTAGTAAATACAAAGAAAAACATCATATATGAATTGAAAAGCAATGTACCTGATAGAGATCAGCTATTGTGATACCTGACAGTAGTAGTTGCTAAATATTGTTTTTTCATGATAAACAAAATGTATTTATAGCAAAATGGTCTTGAATGAATGTTAGTAAATAAATAAAAGCAGTGAGTTCTAGTAATGAAACTACATATTAATCATTTTTAACAGCTGACACCATTGTAAAGATAAGCCAAAGGTAACAACATTATGCAAAAAATTATTAAAGATAATGCAATGTGTTTTTAGAATAGTTATACACAATATATTTTTTTAATGTCACTTAGCATATAAAAACACCCCATTTAACAATCTTGCACAAATTAGATATAATACATTTCTTACTATTATAAAAACACATTTATATAAACTCATTTATAAAACAACTATATAACATATATCACCCCATACATGTATTTATCAAAAAATTTTAAACTTTGAGCATAATATACATGCAAACTTATATGCAATCTTTTAACAACTATAAAACAACATTTATTAGCATCAATTATTTTTAATGTAACAAAGAATGCAGACTACAATGTACAACATTGTTAATAAAAATATCAGTCAGTATATATTAATCTAAAGCAATGAAAAAGAAGAAACCATTTAAGAACAAAATTAAAAATTTCTAATAAATACATATTTAGATACCTTAAAATGAAGCATAACACAACACTCTTTTGACAAATTCCAGAAGAAATTTTCTTAATTTTTTTATTCCTTATTATTTTTCCTTAGAGAATATATATATGTAGATATAGAGAAAGATAAAATAGACTGAAATAAATCAAAAACCTTAATTTATGTATGAGAAAATAACTTGAACTTACTAAAAAAGCGATCAGCTCCTTTTAACTGCTCTAAAAAATAAAACAAATACTGCTTAAAATGTTTTAAAAAGACTAACGACAAAACTGTTTTCTTAAAAAAGAAACATTGTACTAAAAAAACTATTTTACCAGTCAATTTAGTTCTAACTTATTCTAAAAAATGAAAAATAAATACATATTTAGATACCTTAAAATGAAGAATAATACAACACCCTTTTGACAAATAATAGAAGAAATTTTTTTTATTTTTCTATTCTCAATTATTTTTGCTAAGAGAAAATACATATATATATACATAGCAAACTAACAATTATTTAAATTTTTATTTTAAAAAACAAACAACATTAATTCTTCTTGAAAATAAATGTATCAGCTCCAATTTGATTGCTGATTTTACTCGAATGACCGCATGGAATATATAACTGCGCTTAGAAAATTCTAGAGGCAAAGAAATAGTATATTTTACATAATGCAGAACCGTAATTAACAAAACGAACAATAGGCGTAACAATGCGTAACTGCCCACTATTAATATTCATAGGCTATTCATTATAGGCGGATTCATTATAGGCGGATTATTACTTTTATTTTATACTGTCTTTTTTAACTCTACTAATATTACTATTATCATTAATTTACCTTTGTTTTATAAATCTTATTAATACTATTTATAATGATAGTGATTCAATTTTAGTAATAGTTTTATGATTACTGTCCTAATTTTTGCAATGTTATGTTTATTTTAATTTTTTTTATGTTTTAATTATAGTTTGTTTGTTTGTTTTTTTTAACTCTAGGTGTCACTCCATTGACTAGCTTTTAACTATATGAGTGACACCTAACCTTATTTATGTGAGTTCATAAATTTTATTGTAAATTTTCATATTTTATGGTTAAATAAATGGTTAATTGATATTCAAAAATATTTTAGATATTATTTTTTTTTTCATAACGTTTATAATTAATTAAAAACGCTACAATAATTCTTATTTTGCGCTTTAATGGTTTCATTTTAAATTAATTCAATGGTTTCATTTTCGTTAACAAACGTAACCTTTGTACTCCTAGTGTGCTTGCAACTATTTTAGTGTTATTTGAAATATTTAAAATACACAGGAATCTGAAGTTCTTGTATCTCCTGGAAACAACTCTCAAGAGAAGCCTACCCCAGTTACCACAGCAGCCAAAGAATCTGTAAGCATGCCAGCTGCCAGTTCAACTCCATCAACAAAAGATACCCATGAAAATAAACCTTTGGAACCCAAAGTTGTATTTAAATTATCTAAAGATCCTTCTACTCCAGTAAAAGAGGTTTTTTAAATATTTTTCTTCTTTTTTTTTTTTAATAAATTGTTATTGCTATTGTTATTTACTTAAGATTAATAGCATTACTATTTGTAAATATTCCTAAAATAACTTTTTTCAGAATATATGAAAGTTGTTTATTTACAATTTAACGATGAGTAACGATTTCAATATTCTCATTTAGCAACCTCCGCAATCGTTTGCACTTTCGCCATCTATTCCGAAAAAGGTATTTTCAGATTTACCTCCTGGCATATATTTATAATATTTTAATTACATTAAAATTTAATTATTTTGCTCGTTATCAATAATAACAAGTTGCTATTGTTGTTTTGTTTTTAAATTTTTTTTTAAATAACGTTGTATATAATTCTTCTTTTTTAGACAAATTCAAATGAACATGAACACTTTCGTGAACATCATTCTTTATCTACGAAGGAACCCAGTTTTCTTCCTATGTCAATGATTATCGGAATGATTCTTGCTCTTATAATTGGAATAATAATTGGCAAGTTTGCTTTGTAATAGAATGTAACCTTAAATTATAATAAATAATTTTTTTTCTCTTCTGTGTATTTGAATTATTATCAATTCAAAATTTGTTAACAAAAATTTTGTTTATTATTCGCGAAAATTACATTAAATAAAGTCAAAACAAATATACTATAATATAAGCTGTAACTTTTCAAGGACTTTTACAAATAGTGCAAGTATAATGTAAATACCTAAATTATAAAACATAACAATATTATCAGTGGTGAAAATAGTAGTATTAACAATAATGATAATTATAAAATAATGCAAAAATTCTAAAATAACGTAATGATATTAACTTAGACCAGCGTGCCATTTGATAAGCTCATTTACCTTACTAAGTCTTTCAGATAGATTTTTAAAAATTCAATTTTGTCAAAATTAAAATAAACTTGTTTAAATGCTTCTCGTTTGTTATCTCTCCTAGCTTGATTATTATTTTTAACAAAAGAATTGAATTTTACGAATTTAAAAATCATGTTTAAAATGTTATGCAAATAGAGAAATATCGAATTAAAGATTTTTTTGATTTAAATGTTTAGAAATAATTCAGGTTGTTGAATGAGGGACGGTCATTTAGGTTGTTGAAGGTTGATGGAGGGAAGGTCATTTTGTAATAAATATGCGTAAGGGTGATTATGATGCGAAGTCCTAAATCAGTGGTTTTACTGAGTAAGTACTAACTCAGTAAAACCACTGATTTTACGAATGCCCTCTTGGGTATATTTTTTATGAAGTTTATTTAAAAAAAAAAATTTAAGAATGAAGAGTTTGACGATAAATCATCAAAAACGTTACTAAATATTACTTGTGGCGTGCCACAAGATTCTATACTCGGACCTCTTCTTTTTCTTATATATGTAAATGATCTTCATAAAGCATCCAGCCTGAGGACAATAATGTTTGCCGACGACACAAATTTATTTTTATCGCACAGCAACATTACTATATTATTTAAAATTATGAACTTAAAACTTATAAAGGTTTCCGACTGGTTCAAATTAAATAAACTTTCAGTAAATATTGACAAACTAACTGGACTCTACTTCACCCACTTTCCAAAAAAAACCAATACCATACGAAACGCCATCTATATTCATTGATAATATTCAAGTTAAAAGAGTAAAAACTACTCAGTTTTTAGGAATATACATTGATGAAAATCTTACATGGAGACAACACATCGAAAATTTAAGCAACAAAATTTCAAAAAGTATTGGAATATTATACAAATCAAAAAGCTATTTAAACATGCGCACTTTAATACAACTATATTATTCACTTATTCACGGCCATGTTAACTATGCAAATATTGCGTGGGGCAGTACTAACAAAAGTAAACTAGAGCCTCTTCATCGTCATCAGAAACATATAGCACGTTTATTTAATTCTTGTGATAGACGAACTCATTCAAAGCCTCTCTTAAAAAAAATGAATGTTTTAAACATATATCAACTTAATGTATATAATATTCTTTGTTTTATGTTCAAATGTAAAACGAAATTATCCCCGTCTCCTTTTCATAGTTTATTTATAACAAAACAAAAAAATAAATATAATCTACGAAATGATGATTTTTTGATGCAACCATTTTCGAAAACTAATCATTGTAAATTTTGCGTATCATATCGGGGACCGTATCTTTGGAACAAAATTGTCTTAAATAACTTTGATTTTTCTTTTGAATGGAATTACATATCTTTTAAAAAAAAGTTGAAAGAAGTAGTTTTTGAAATTGACAATATACAAATGTACTTTTAAACCTTTTGAAATTCTTTTTATCTATTATTTATATTGGTTAATATGATTTGTAATGTATGATTTTTCTTGATATGATTTGTAACTCAATTATTTACGATCTTCAAGCCTATATTGCTATAAACTATCTGTCCAATTATCTTTAGGAAATTTTTTGTGAACGTTTTATTTTTTTGTAGTTTTTTTAATTTAAATCTTGTTATTCTTTTATCATTGCATTACACTTTTTTATTTACTACGTAATATTTTACGTTGTAAATAGAAAAGTGTAATGCAATAATAAAAGAACTTGTAAAAATGTAACAACGTCTTTTTACCGCGGTACTCGACGACAAGACCTTACGGTCTTTTACGACTTTCCGCGTTCTTTTTATATATATATTAAATATCTTCACTTGTAATTGTTTATATTTTTTTATTTTAGCTTGTAAATTTTATAAAATATTAACGTCATGTTTTAAAATGTAATAAAGAACGAAAAAAAAAAAAATATATATATATATATATATATATATATATATATATATATCTGTACCAGTTTTATGCAATTGTATGCAACATAATTATAATTAGTCAAAAGTGTAAGATAAATGCAAAAAGAAACTTGACAAGTAAAGGTTTATTTTGCCACAAACTGACATCAATGCGCAAAATTTTTTTGGCTTAACTCTTAGATCAGCGTTTAATATTATTCTTTAGTTTTTTATCATAATCATAAGAACTAGCTGAGATCGGACCCGTAAAAATACGGTCTTTGTAAATCTATTCCATACCGAACTTTTATGTACTTTTCCTTTATATATCCTAGCTTTCTGGATCCGTAAAATACTAATTTATATATCTATTCCTCACCGATTATTTCTATAACTATTCCTTATTAACTTCAATATTTTTTAGTAAAATAATTTTGCTAAAAAACTTTAAGAGCAAAAAACCTAACATGCGCATACGTAAAGCTTATAAGAGACTCATAATTAGGTTCGTTTTTCTGCTAAATGCAAATCATTGGAAGCTCTTTTTTCTGCTAAATGCATTTCATTGGAAGCTCAGCTCTAAAATTTAAAATAAAATTTTATAGTTTTCTCATTTTACAGATATACGCGATTATTCCATACAATGCCAGCAAACTCAACATATGCTAAAGGCATTTACACTTACAGACGTTTGTACGTAACGCCATTCAAATGGAACTAAGAAGATCTTAGAGTATTAAAACATAGTCATAAAAAAAAATTCATTCTTATGATTATGATTAAGAACTAAAGAATATTATTAAACGCTAATCTAAAAGTTAAGCCAAAAAGATTTTGCGCATTGACGTCAGTTTGTGGCAAAATAAACCTTTATGTGTCAAGTTTCCTTTTCCATTTGAATCGCTAACTTGAAAAAGGGGACATGTTATGTGAGTTTTTGCAGGACATGTCCCCTTTTTCAAGTTAGCGAATCATTTATCTTATTTCTATGACTATCATTTTGAAAGGTCTAAAAAGCAGATGACGTAATTTTAGCAATCAGAAATTTTCAAGAGAGCGGGGCAAATCTAAAGTTGAAATTTCAAATTCTCCATTTGGATGCGACAATATGTTTCGTGTTTTTTCAATCTTGTCAATTTTTATATAATAACTTAACTAAAAAAAATCAAAACAAAAAAGCTTGAGCAAAAAAGAAATGTAATTATTAGGAAAGTTTACTTATATTACATACGATCCTAAATAAAACGTTATATAAGCTTTTTACATTTTATAAACAATATTTATAAACAAATAACATATTTTTTTAAAATATAATTTGGATAGCCTACCCAAAGTCAGTGCGACAAAATAAAAATTAGCCTACCAAAAGTTTTTTTTAATTGGTTAAAAATATCACGTGTTACAATAAATTATTTAAATTAAATTGTTTTTGAACTTATCTAAGAAGCGTAAGAAGTTTAAGAATGTATTGTGTAAGTGCTCATTGAGCAGGAGTTCCGGGTTTGACTTTTACTTTTGGAACCGTTGTTTAATTTTTAATGTTTTTTTTTTTTGTTATTTATGTTATATTCTATTATGCTTATTTAATGACTAAATTATTTAGGATATGCGTTTGGAATAGCTCAATGAGTGTCCATGCATTAATAGACGCAATGGAGTATTCATTTACTAATTTAGGGATAGGCGCAGTGAAATATACATACATTTACTAGCTTAGGGAGAAGCGCATCGAAGTGTACATACATTTACTAATTTAGGGATAGGCGCAGTGGAGTGTACATACATTTACTAATTTAAGGATAGGCGCAGTGGAGTGTACGTGTATTGACTGAGGATTTTTGCATGGACTGGCTGTCTAATTATTTACATTTTTTTCGTTTTTGTTTTTTAAATCCTAAGTTTTCCCAGTTTATTTTACGGTATAACAAAATAAAATTTATTTTGACATTTGATACTCTCAACCAATAAAAAAACACTTTATATATATATATATATATATATATATATATATACATATATATATATATATATATATATATATATATATATATATATATATATATATATATATATATATATATATATATATATATATATATATATATATATATATATATATATATATATATATATATATATATATATATATATATATATATATATATATATATATTGTTGTTTATTATTGTATCTGGTTGAGATACAAATCCTCTTGTTTACTTGAGAGTGATCAATATAATGTAAAATAATTTTTACAAAATAGATCAATATATATGTATATAAATAAAGTGTAATTAAATAGAAAAATACAACTTTATAATGGAACTAAAAGTTTCATGCCTATCGGCAATCTTCAGCCATATATATTATACAAATCAAGAAAAAACCGTTAAAAAAATACAAAATACAAAAAAAGCAGTAGAATGAGTTCCGACGTCAAAACAAAACGAATAAAAAAACGAATAAAAAAGAAGCATAGTTGTAAAACTGCTAATCACCAGTGTCAAATTGGGCAAGAAGAAATTTGTTTTTATGCCGGCACTTAGATAATATTTCACTCTTTTTATTTAACAAATTTGGGTGTTTGAAAAATAAAATTTCGTACTTTTCGTTTAAGCATAAGTTACATCGTTTTGTTACAGGGTTATAGGCATCGCACTGTTTAATTATTTTCCACCTAACAACCGGGTTTAAGTTTTCATCTTTTAATCTCCAAACCTCCTTTGATAATTCAGTGTCATTTTTGTATTTGGGAATTTTAAAAGATTTAATGTGGTTAGCATATCTAATTTTAAAAGAT